AAACTTCTGCCTGACACTCTAACACTACAATTTTAAACCTAACCCCATACCTCATCGACCCATTGCCTATGCTCTCATTACCCATCTATCCTCCAATAGCTTCATTAACTTACCCTAACAGCTCCTCTTTTAGTTTATAAAACTTCCACCTCTCCTCTTCCCTGATGCCTTCTATTCTCCTTGTATCCCATCTACCTTTTACTCTCAGTGGTATCTACAACTAAAAATGATCTGATATATCTGTGGCCCCTGATATATCCCCTGAATTGAGTCTAAAATAACCTTCCATCCCTCCCCCTATGCACTATAAATCCTATGGTTTAGTGCTCCCCCCCATGAATATGCTTATGCTCATCTCTTCCCATGACCAACCAACTTGCCCTCTCCTCCCCTCCTTGCAATCTTAACCTTATCTCTACAAAATCTTCCCCTCTTCCTCCTTAATCTTCTTACCTTTGTCCCTTCCTTTTTTTTTTTTCAGTTATTTTGCTTTCTTTTCCTTCTTTATACTTGTATTTCCCTTTCACCCTCTTGCTTATCTCCCTGTTCATTCCTCGGGTTTCCTTGTCATGGAAATCTCTTACTTGTACATTGTCTCTTGTGTTTACTGATATTGTCATATCAACTTCCCACTTAGTCCTTTGTCTTTACTTCATATACATTCTTGTCCTTAATATGTATCCTGTGTCTCAATAGTTCATGCTCCTACCTGAAAATTTCTTGAGAACTGTGGAAGTTAAAATAAAAAGTAAAGAGCTTAAAAAAAAACTTTAATTTTCTTTAGTGTGTGTGTGTATATATACTGAAAATTGTATAGCACTATTATAGTGTAAATTCCAATTCTATGGGAATTTCACTCCAACTTTCAGAAAAAAACCATAGAAAATGGGAAATTTCCCATTTTCTTGATGGCATAAAAAGAAAGCTATGGAATTTCACTCCCTTTTCTTTTTCCATGGTTTCTTCCCATAGAAAATGGGAAATTTCCCATTTTCTTTGATGGCTCATCATAGAAAATGAGAGTATGTGAATTTCACTCCCACTTCCAGAAAAAAAAATCCATCATAGAAAAGGGGAAAATTTCCCATTTTCTTTGAATGGCTCATATTAAATTAAGGGGAATGCTAAACCCGGGGGGATTAACAGCACCTGGGGGGGGGGATGTGGAAGGCATTCAGGCTTAATTCGGGGAACTGGAGCACAGTTCCAATTCCCTAAATCAAGAGCCCCTCACCAACATCAAGGAACCTTCCTTGAGGGGATGGCTCTGAAAAGAAAACTAGAGTCTAGGGGAATTTTCCCTCCCACTTTCAGAAAAAAAAATTCCATCATAAAAAGGGGAAAGTTCCTATTTTCTTTGATGCCTCTATCACAGAAAGCAAGTCTAGGGAATTTCACCCCCAAATTTTTTTCCATCATAGAAAGGGGGAAAATTTCTAATCATATTTCCCATCATAGGAAAATGGGAAAATTTTTCATTCTCTAGCCAGAAAGCCTATGGGAAATTTCAACTCCCACTTTGATAAATTACCCATTTTTTTTAGATGTTTATAAAGAAAATGGGAAGCTAAATTTCCCCAAAAAACCACAAGTGGAAATTTTAAAATTTCCATTGTCATTTACTGAAGAAAATTCAAAACTATAACAGAATATAAGAAGCAGCTTCCCATTAGCTATCAAAATGAGACTGTTACCAAAGAAAAATGGATTAGAGAAAATATTTTGACAACGAAGTAGATTTTCCAGAACTTGCTTGTATTAACATCCAGCTCTTACAATTTTAATGGAGGAAACACTAAACTTGTCCAGGTGAACAGGTACAAAGATGTAAGGGACAGGAAAAGGTTGCAAGATGGCACAAGGCACTCCCACTTAGAGTATGCTCCACTTGGAAGACGACAGACTGTCATTCCAGAGCATTCACACCTGAGGATGCAAGTGACTACTGTCATACAAAACCTATGTTTAGGTACCACACTTGGATTCTTTGCAGACAGTGAGAACACGGTTACACAAGACAGTGAGAAGACTATACACACAAGATAGTGAGAACATACTATGCTTCAGAAGAGAAGAACATCTACACAGACAGTGAGAACGACAGCTACACCAGATAGTGATAAGACAGCTACTACACTCACAGACAGTGAGAAACAGCTACACAAGACAGAAGACTACATCACAAGATAGTGAGAAGGCAGCTACATCATAGGACAGGGAGAGGACAGTACACAAATAACCCGCACATAGAAGAGAGAAGCTTATGACGACGTTTCGGTCCGACTTGGACCATTTACAAATTCACACTAACCAGAAGTGGAGCAGGACGGCTATATATAGGCAGGAAGATGTAGTGGTGGTAGTAGTGGTAGTAGTGGGGAATAAGGAGAAGGAGCCAGTCAAATACAAAGAAAGGGGAGCACTGCAAGGGAGCTAGGTGCCCACAGAGGGAGAGCAAGTGCACAGAGTGGGTGAAAGGGGAAGTGTGAAATAAATAATGAAGGAACAGAAACACGAGACAGAAGACAACCCAGAGGAGAGAAAGGAAAGGGGAAGAGGGAGAAGAAAAAGAAAAGGAAAAAATGTGGAGTCAGGTTAAATCACGGGTGTTCTGAAGTTTGGAGCATTTTACAATGTAGTGGGAGAGGAAGGCATCTACAGAGATGAAGCCAGGGCTAAGATTCATACAGGGAAAGTTGTGTATTAGAGAGGATTCAACTAGATGGCGACTGTTAGTTGGAAGTAGGGAAGACAGTTTTAGCAGGAGACCAGTCAATAGGATGGCTATGATCTCTTGACGTGACAGAAAAGAGCATTGTTAGTGTCGGCAAGCCTAACACTATTTTTGTGCTTCCTAAGTCTGTCAGAAGAGATCGACCAGTTTCTCCAAAGTATTGAAAAGGACAGGAGCAAGAAATAGAGTAGACACCAGGGGAAAACGTAGAGGGAAGGGTTTGAAATAATATTTCCCTTGGGAAAGGG